GGTTGGAAGAGCATTCTCTTTGGAAGGCAGTTGTTGGAAATGGGTCTAGGCTGGCAAATTGGTAATGGGCGTTCTGCCTCCTTGCTCCGCTCAACTTGGATACCCCAGTACCAGCTTGATCCCCCTAAGTATAACCCTCAGATCTTGCCGATGGGGGGCGACCCTCTTGTGTCAGACCTTATCTGTCAGGGGGAGGGGCGATGGTGTGACCAGAAACTTAGCCAATGGTTTGACCCTGCTACCTGTCGAGCCATCAAAGCAATCCCTCTCCCGCGGCGGAATGTAGAGGATAGGTTGATCTGGCATGATACAACTGATGGGGTATTTTCGGTGAAGTCGGCTTACCACTTGGCTGTCTCTCTGGATAGGCGTAGGGGTGGTTGGAAATCTACAGTCAGTTGGATGGATAAGGCCAGCTGGATTCGTCTCTGTGATGCAAATATTCCCCCTAAACTTAAAGTGTTCGTTTGGCAAATCCTCAATCGTACCCTTCCTACTATGGAGGCACTAATGATCATAAGGTCACTAGAAGTGAACACAGATAAATTTAGGTATTGAGATAAAAGTGAATTATTAGATCCTGAAGTACCGTATGTTGATGTCGTTGGAGCGAAAATGTATCTCGCTATTCTTTGTTGAGTTATACTTTGCTACTATAGGTAACGATGAGGACATAGATGAGTAATTTGTTTACTTATGGTCATACAAGTATCTCATGGAGATTCCAAAGAAATCACAAAAGCAACATATCTGATCTTGCACAATGGTCAACAATTCATGAGACTTGTGATGAATTGTTTGGTTAAGATTTATGATCCAACATGTCTAAATGACGTGGTTGTGGATTATCTTCATAGAAAATGATCCTGAAGATCATGTATGAAGAAAATGGTCCTAATGGATCATGCATAAAGTGACAATCTAGAAGATTTGTTCACTAAGAAACTTACCATGACTATATTTGGAAGTTACGTTCACAAAACTAAACTTTGATGTTGTCATGAGGGGAGCATATACGCACTGCACTCTTTTTTCCTTAATCATGGTTTTTCCCACTGTGTTTTCCTGGTAAGGTTTTAAACGAGGCAGTTTCAGATAGCGTATTATGATGATTATGTACTCTTTTTCCTTCACTGGGATTTTATCCCATAGGGTTTTTCCTAGTAAGGTTTTAATGAGGCATATTCTCAATAGATGGACACCCAAGGGGGAGTGTTATGAAACAATATAGTATGGTGGATGTCCATTGGATGCTACTTTGGATTTCATATGGGATGTTACATTAGGAGGTAATTACCTCCCTACATTGATCATGGAAATGAATTCTCTTCATGGTTATTATATCACATTTATGTGCATTGATAGAGGAGAATGTGAAGGTTATGTATATGTGTCTATAAATAGAGCTCCCCATTGTACAAAGGAATAAGATGAATAAGAAGAACTCTTCCCCTCTCTTTTACCTTGTGTTTTTTCCTCTTCATACTCTCTTAGTTGTTTATCTATTCCTTTAGTTTCTTAACACTCACAGGGTTTTTTGTCAGTAGATACTTACATGACTCAAATGGGTAAAGAAAAAAGATAAGTGATGGCCCATTAAATTCCCAACCACCTTTAACTCTCTAACCCTCTTTCTCTCTCTCATTTCTTTCTTTCTTTTTCCGCCTGTAATGGATATTGGTCAGTGATAGATTATTTTGTTATGTACTGATATTAGTATGTGATGATAGGATATAATGATGTTCATGCGATGGATATTAGTTTGCGAAGTAATGGATATTGTGTTTTCCATTAAAACTAAACACACTATCAAATCCTAACACATAAGGCTTGCAACCTTAGTCAGGGCTACCCGCCGAGGGCCCATGGGCCTTCGGGCCATGAAACAACAATATTTGTTTGCAATGAATGGATATTAGTTTAGGTGGTTCAGATATGTGTAGTTGGTATTAGTCTGCGATGGACAGATATTAATTTGTGTGGTGGGTAGTTTGCGATGGTCAGATATTAATCTGTTCGTCGTGGGTATTGTCTGCGATTGTCAGATATTAGTCTGTGTGAGGTGGGTATTAGTCTCTATGGTGAGAATATTAATTATGGTCTGACTAGATATTGGTCTTAGAGGATATTTGTTATGGTGAACGGATATTATTCTGGGTGATTTGGTTATTTGTTTTGTGTGTATGTGTTATTCTAACGAAGTGATGGAAAGAGAGGAGGAGACTCGCAGATGATTTTTTTAATTTGTGGGCCCCTTTTCTCTGTAGCTGGATAGTGAGAATGGGTCAGCCTTTTTTTAATTTGTGGGCCTCCTTTTCTCTGTCCCTGTGAGTATATACTCACAACTTACCTTGTGAGTAGGATAACTAGATTGACTTGCAGCGACACCATCCACCAAAATCCGGCCAGCGGCCACCTTTCACCAACTCCAAATGACCCACTGGCCACTGTTGTCCCTTCCTCTCTTCGTGACTTCGCCACAATGTATTTTTTGTGGATATAATCCCCACCATTGGAACCTCCCCGTCGTGGATATCGTCTGAATCACCCACCTCTAAAATCAACTCCGAGTTCTGTCTTTCCCTTCTCCCTACTCCGGAATCAACTCCCAGCCGGGTATGTATGTCCCTTCACCACATCGCCGGAATCAACTCCCGCTGTCGTATGTCCCATATGCGATGAGCAACGATGACATTGGTGGCGGCCTGGCGGCTATTGGCGGTGGTAAATCGACGACTATCAGCCGTCGGTAATGGGAATTGGTGGCTGACGGACGACGCAAATGATGGTGGCGATGGTGATGATGTGGGTCCAGTTTTTTTAACGAATGTTTTATTAGAAAAATATTTTCTAGAAATAAAATGGTAAAGGGTAAATGCATAATTTTAACACTTAAATTAGGGCGAATATAGTAAAACTAGGGCGACATTTAGCAATCCCTTGTGGGCATTGTTATTCGTCGCCCTAAAACACCTTATTCGTCGCCCTAACAGTTATTAAAATTATTCAAATATTCTTAGTTTAATTTTGAGAATTGCTAATTGCCGCTCTACGCGTAACCAAAACATAACCACTAACAAGTTAATCGGTGCCGCTCCATTCGCTTCCACCTTCCGCTCCACAAACCCACTCCGGCGACAATATATCCTAAAAGCATATTGGGGATTAACATCAACCCACAATTCAACTTTTTTTTTTGCCATTCTCACGAAATCCAATTTATCAATATATTCAATTGGACATATATATAAATGAACAACAATGGAAGACTATGCTGCGACGGTGAGAATGACCGGTGGGGGAGATGATGCGCGGCGATGGTGAGAACAACGGCATTAGCGGAGTGCAATGCTGGAGGAGAATGGCAACGACATGATGGAGGCGGCGTTGGGTGGTTGGAGTGGAAGACATCGGCAATAGGACATCAGCGAATTTGTTTAGGGTTTTAGTTAGGAATTTGGGTCAAAGGGTAAGAGTGTCAATTTGGTGCATTTTAGGGTGATATTTGAATTTTAGGACGAAAATAGCAATTTAGCATGTATGATATAAATATGAAAATTGAACACGTAACAGTAAAACATACGAAAGTGTGAAAGTGATTCAAATGTGACCTTACATTTATATTGCACACATATTTTGTGCATGAAAGATTATATGAGTAGTTTTGACCACTTAAAGAGATTGTAGACCTTCCATAAAACCCGAGGCAAAACGCGAGTGTAAATTTCAGCGGATTACAATTCAGCTGCAAAAAAAAAAAGGGCGAGTCCCATTGTTTGAATCACGGCCTCAATGCATAAAAAAAATCACAGACAAAAATTCAGCCAAACCTTATGCCCGTTGTTTCTTTACATTGGAAAGGTGATGTATAGGAAGAGCATTCATCGTAACTCGGGATCATTTTACTCAAAGATTCATAGACGGATTGGCTCTTCTGTTTAGTCCTTCTGCAAGATGGAATCACAAAGCCCTTAGATAATTAAGGTTTAATAGTTGCCGTGAAATCCTTGTCAAGGTTCAATCAAATGGACTTCACATAACATACGAGGGCAAGCGAGAAAGCTCAATTTCCAGCAGAAGAACACAAGAGAAAAAAGAGTAGAACTGAGAATTGAACAGGGGCCGCTCGAATGCACACCCCTCAGCAACAAATTATGACGTAGGCTCTCCCATATTGGGGAGAGCTTAGCCCAGCGCACCTCCGCAATGGAGATCACTGGCCTAGACCACATGCCTTTTTGATCGCCCATAAATCTCGTTCAGGTAAGTATGTTGCATGGTTGCACTTAGCTCTTGTTTTATACCTCTTTCTATTCCGTACTTGGCATGCTTTCCAATGTGGTATTTCAATTTCACACTTCCTTTCCCCATATACTAAATCATATGTTCAGCAAAAGCTTTCTTCCTGCTACCTTATCACCTCTACTATACATTTTCTTTCCTCTCCAGCTGCAAAGTTAGCAGCCAAGACATTGTCGTTTGTAATTTTCATGGATGTCTTCTTATAACTGGGAAGGGCTGGCCTGAGATATCCATCGACACATTTTCTCAATTTCTAGTTTTCTACATTCTCAGCTACCAATTCCTACGGTACCATTAGTTGCAACCAAGGGAAGAATATGTGCATAGTTAACTCGTAAAGGACACCTTATAGACACGGGCTTCATTTTATAACAGTTATCTTGCTGGACCACCAGGCTCACAAACATGGGCTTACGAAGCCCAAACTAATATTCGGATAAAAAACAGTTTTGGACTGAGAATTGGGTGGGGCCGCTCGAACGCAGGCCCCCACTGCTACAAATCATGACGTAGGCTCTTCCACTTTGGGAAGACCTTAGTCCAGCACCCCCTCCACAAAGTGTAATAGAGGCCACTGACCTAGACCACAAGCCTTATTGATCTCCCGTTGATCCCGTCCAGGTAGGTAAGTATGTAGCTCAGTAGCACCTTGTTCCCGTTATATACTCCTTTCTGCCTCACAGCTTTCCTTCCTCTATCGATGTGGTAATGGTGCTCCCTCTTCTTCTAAACCATCTCCCAAGTCCCATCCATCCCCAATAAAACGCTTCCTTCCTTCCTTCACCTCTTCGTTCTTTGCTCCTCGGTCCTTTCACGCCATTGCTGCCCACCTTATAGCCTTACCGAGGAAAACGGTTTGAGATGGCAGTCTTTTAATAGAGCTTCACTCCATAGCTTGAATATCTGAGCAAGTTAGCACCCAGGTCCAAGAGGGTCAGCCATTCCCCTTCACTTCAACAGAATCGGAGAAAGCCGCCGCCGTGAATACCAGCTGCTGCTGCTCCAATTTCGGTCCGGTGACTATAGTTGGGGGCGGCCTCTGGGGGACTGAAGCCTAGCTCCCGCGCTCATAGTACGTCGCCGTTTCTAACCCATTTCGTACAAAACGGCACCGTTCCTTCTTCCTCTCTCAGCATACCGTCATTTAGTCTTCCCTCTCACTCAACACGAGTCAATTGGCTGATCACGATCATGCCCAAAATCCTCAGAACTAGGGTTTCTTAATCCGTCCAATTCGTGAGCTGCTGCAGCAGAATGTCCTCCGATGATATGCCCCTAGTCTCTTCCCAGAACGGCCTCAATTCCCAGCTTCTTTACCGGGAAGACCCCTTGCGCTTCAGCTCCCAGCGACGGCTCGGTGATCCGGGTCCTAAAACCCGAGAACTGGCCGGTTTCATCGACGACAAGTTGTTCTCCTCTTCTTCTTCCCCCGCGGCCACCAACCGTTACTTCTCCTCCTCCTCCCCCGCTACCCACCACCACCAAGGTCCTCCGGCCTTCGCTCGAAATGTCTCTGCTGCTGCACGGAGCCCGTCCGGTGACCGGCATTGGAGCGTGCAAGGGAACCGAGCCAGCGGCGATGATGATTCAGGAGAGGAAGAGGAGGATGACTATGATGACGAGGAAGACGATGAAATGGAGGACGATGAGGAAGTGGGGGGAAGGGATGGTGATCATCATGGTAGTACGGGAGCCGGCGGGATTGTGGGTGGTATTGATATTAGCAGCGGTAGGGTGGGTAATAACAAGCACAGTGGTACCGACGACGGCAAGACCATTGAGGGTGACAATATTCATAGTGGAGGTAACGACCTCCGCAGCAAAATGGGAAATGGGAATGGAAAAGCCAAAGATTTTTCCATTTGTGGTAAGAGAAGATGAACATAGTTTTACTCTTTCCCGCTATTAATCGGTTACATTTCCATAATTGCAAGTGTTGGGTATTTTTTGTTTTGCTGTTTATCTAGTTTTTGAGTCGTAAGTTACTGGCTTTCTTCATAGGGTCTAGTGAGGCAGTGGTGGTAAACAAAGATGGAGGTGGTAGTCGTGGTCTAGGGCAAAATGCAAATGCAGGAGTAACAGTAGCAGACCGGGATGGTGAAATGTACTATTCGCAGTATTTACCGACAGCAGATGGGTCTGGTGGTGGGGGAAAGGATATCGGAGTGGACAATAGTTTTGGAGGGTTCAATGGTAGGAAGGATGGTTCTTCATTATCAAATGGTTCTGGAGACTCTTTGAGGGCCATTCTATCGGATCCTGTCACGTGAGTTCTTTATAACTAAATTGGATGCCTTGTATCGATCATTTGGTTTGTCATGGGCTCTTTATGTTCTTCTCAATGGTATGTTGCTCTTTCTTCTTACTAAATTCACATGTCGGATTCAGGGGAGCTCTGATGGAGGATGCAGTGATACTGCCTTGCGGACATTCTTTTGGAACTGGAGGTGTACAGCACATTATGAGAATGGTTGGTTGCCCAAGCTCTCCTTCTTTGATTGTCCTTTGCCATTAACCTTGAAGCACAATTGTAATTACTGGTCATGTAAAAGTAGAACGACAGAATTATAATTTGTCTCTATGGACACGTTTTGTTTCAAGCAAATCCTTGATTACTCTAGTTCTCCCTGCTTGTGTTTTGTGTAGTAGTCGTGCTACTCGTGCTGATTCTTTTTGGTTCTGGTTTTCACTTGCCTGCATCCAGAAATCCTGCTACAGTTGTTCAAGGCCAGTTTCAGAAGAATCAGTATCTCCTAATCTTGGTAAACATCGTTGCCTTCATAGTTGAAACCAACAACTTAAATTCTCACTCAGTTGTTTGAAAAAATTTCCCCGGGGTGGGTGGGGCAAGTTTGAGTTGAGTTGATGCTAGTTGCATTGCAAATAGCTTTTTTCATTGTTGTTTTGCAATTCTTGCAGCACTTCGAGCTGCTGTACAGGCATACCAACGGGAAGAGGACTTGCAAAGTTACAGATCACCTAAGAGGAGGAGAGAGAGGTTTGAGCAGGTTAGTGCTGCTCAGACAATAAAAGTAATTAATATCAACAACATTACAAGTTGCTTGTTAGCCCTTCTCTTTACTAGAACTTCAGAGTATGTACAAGACATGCTGCCTCACTATGTCTTAGCCCTCAATGCAGGAGAGGGGTAGTTATGATGATCCGAACACGATGGACCCTCTCAGGGGTAGAGGTGTTCAGTTCCCGTTTGCTGTTACTGACCGGGTCATAATAAAGGTTTTCCTGTGCGAGATGTCTTTGCTTTTTTCTTGTTTGGTTGGTCCTTTCATGTGCATAAAGCATAATAATAGAACTTAACATGGATCAGGGGAACAAGAGGACACCAGAGCGTTTCGTAGGACGGGAGGCTGTTGTCACCACACAATGCTTAAATGGATGGTTGGTTCTCTCTCTCTCTCTCTCTGACAACACCTTTTGGGAGCCACCTTTGAGTGTTCATATCTCTATTTACAGGTATGTGGTTAAGACGTTGGACAATGCAGAAAGCGTAAAATTGCAGTATCGATCCCTGGCAAAAGTTTCAGATGATGCATCCTCCTCCAGGATATCGAGCAAGATGACTCCCAACTGGATATAGTCAGATATGGAATGGGACTTTTACTGTTTTACAGTACTGGTATGCCACATTGTCATAATCCCTAACCTAATTATTTTTGGCGCAGCCCAGCTATGGTTGCAACTGGACCGACTTTGTATTAGATAGCAACTTGTTGCGTGTACATAAAGAACACATATAATTGTACCATGTAATGTTTGTAATGATTGTTATGGTGTGATTTGTATAGTATCACTTTCATTTTGGCATTGGTTTCTTGAGAATGATGGAATCCTTGGAGGATTTGGCTCCATGTTCAGTTCATTTTCAGAGATCAAACCATTACAGTTGAAGGCTGATTAGGAGTAATCAAGGAAAAATATTAAACAGATAACAAATTGAGAATCCCCCAACTCTTTATTGGACTTACAGATTTTGTAGAACAAGAATCGGTCAGTAACCAACTGTTACTAGAAACCCTCTAGAAAGAAACAGCAACGTCACTCATAATCAGAGGGTAAAGGGAACATACTTAACTCACCCAAGGTTACATTTCAGCTTCTTAATCTGTATGCTGCTAAATGCACAAGTTAACCCTATTTCCTAAGGCAACAACAAGAAAAATTACAGAAGCGACATCAAAAAGAGGTTCAGAAACATGAAACATTCTCCTTTGACGTGAAAAAATTGCATGTTGAATAGATGGATGCTGCAGCTGCCCTCACTGCCAATTCCTTCTCAGGGTTTTCGGGCTTGGGCGTTCTGCAAACAAACATACAACGGAATCATAAGAACAAGGCAGGCAGATCAGGAACGATAGGAGGGGGGAAAAGCACGAGACTTCAACCAAAGCATTTACCTGATGAAGTGTTCTGCCGGCCCTGGGGGTTGTTGGAGTCCCATGAATCCATTCAATTGGTAATGCTGCAACCCATGATCACAGTGTAGTTGCATCTCTTTCAGCTGGCTCAGCCAACTTTCCTGAAATTTTGAAGCCGGCATAATCAAGGAGAGGTTAGAAAACCACATAAGACTAGGTTGTTGAACAACTGCAATGGAAATGTGTCAACACTCAACAATGTTTCTTCATAGTAAGCACTTACAAGTTGTCTCTGTTCTTCAGTGAGTGCTTTATCCATTTGATCAAACTTCTGGGTCCATCTCGCTTGATGCATTGCAGCAGCATGCATGTTGTAAGGGTCACTGTTCTCTTGGTTGGAGCCGAATTCTCTTGATATCAACATAGGTAGATCAGTAGTTATGACGTCTTTCACCCTCCTCTTGCTACGCCGCAAAGCTACATTAAATTTAGTTTGTTAAGACAGAGGACATTAGCATCAGGAAATAAGAAGTGAAGATTAACAGGTAAATACCAGTGAGCCGTCCTTTGATGTCTTGCTGAACAAGCTCCAACCACTGTGAAGCAACACTTGCCGCTGAAAGCAAATGAACAAGTTTCTTGTATAAATAAGATGCAATGTCAATTTGTCGCTAGCAGCAGCTGCGATGAACTAACAGTTCCTAATCGTACATGCTATTTGCATAACAGTGATTTCTATGGAATTGCAGATTTTCCCACAAATTAGACCATATCGTCCCAAGGACTCAAAAGAACTCACCTTTGACAGAAAGAGAAGAGGCATTGGTGCCATCAGCAGATCCGTTGTTAGAAAAGCTGCTAGATTCCTCAGGAACTTTCATTGACGATGATAGTTTCAGCACAAGAGCATCTTCACCAACAGGATGGGAGTACGAAAGACTGCTTCCTCCACACATCCCCCTTGTCGTGCCGGAATCACACTCTCTACTTGATATCGTGAACCCTCCCATTAGCTTACTTTCAAACACAGCAACTGATGAGCTTTCATTTCCACCAATTCCTTTGCTTCCAGCTTTTAGATAGCTATCCCTTCTTCTTTCTTCACGATTAGTCTCATGCTTCTCGGACTTGACTAAAGCCTCAATAATGGAGCGCACCTGCTTGCTATTCCTCACGTGGTTGATAATCCCCGGGTTGAGATCATTCAGCAGTCCACTTGGAGCTGCAATCTTTGTGAATCTGTCCACCTGTTCTTTCTTTGCAATCTCCATTCTCTTCTTCACGATGTCATTGTTCTTGGGTTTCCTCCCGCGTTGCTTCGGCACTGGTACCCCTCCATGCGGCGGTCCATTAGAAGAGGATGAAAGCAGATTGCTTTGACTTGATATCCCACCATGAGGTGCGGAGAGAAACCCATTCTGCTTCATCTCCTTCCAAACTTTCAAGGGGTCTTTATCCACCACTGGACCTGTAGTGCTTGCACATTCAGACACGTCCCATGATTTTTGCCTGCTTTTGTGAGTTTTGTTTGGGTAGACCCGGTTATGGTTGCCAGAGCTAGCAATGTTTTCTGCATTGAGATCCAAGCCAGTGCCAAGAGATGTTTCACATTTGTTGGCAACTTCAGCACAATTGTCTGCATTATGTACGGCTTCACGTCTTGTAGAGTCATAACCCATACCAGCTTCACTATTGAGATCCAGTCGCCCATGGACAGGATTGACTTCAGCTGACAGTGTCAAAGTTGATGTTCCACTTCTTTGGACTTGACAAGAATCTGCATCTAAAACGCCCCAAACGTGCGGGTAACTCAGTTAACAGCTCTCTAAATTTAGAGTGGTGAACAAGAATGAGAAATTCAGAACCCTCTTCACACTATACGATGATGTTTTACTGTTTGTGCGGGGGGTGGAAGTGCAATTGTCGCAGAAAGCGCTTGGTTATTATGGTTGAACAGATGGCAACTACACACCCAGTGACCCAATTGACTATAAGTATCAAATTGAAGTGTTGGTATCGTCATCGGTAGACCGTAGATGCAAATTGCAGTATAAAAAAAGGTCCATACTTTGAGCTGCAAAAATCAGGGATAAGAAGCAACCAACCTGGAACCCTCAATACCGCATCGAGATTTCTCATTTTAACCCGCTTGCGCGGGACTTCCTGCTCCTCCTCCCCCAAGTCGTCACTGCCTCGTTTGTCGCCGGCCATCTGAGAAATCAAACCCATACCCATAAATACCCAGATGGGGGAAGAAACAAAATCAGAGCGGCAACAGAAAGACGGGAAGAGAGAAAGAGAGAGGAATGAGATGTACCTTGGAAGCAGATCCAGTAGGAGGAAACCCAGAATCGGCTTGATCCTCCATTTTCGCCAAAACTCGACCAACCGGAAAATCTCAGTACAAATTCGTGACCTTGTCCACAAAAACCCACCAAGCAAATCTTGACAGGGAGGCGGGCTCAAAGTGAAGAAGACGGAGAAGAAAAATGAGTAAGGGATTTGGGTGGCGGGTTAGGGTTTTGGAGAGGGAAGCAGGCAGACTGAGATAGATCTATTGGACGAGCGGAATTTTGGATTTGAATTTTGCAGAGAGAGAGAGAGAGAGAGGCAGAGAAATAGGAGGGAGACTGTGAGAGAAAGCGCGCTTAAAATGGGGTTTTTTTTTTTGTTTTTCTGTTTTTTTCTCCAAAACTATAAAATGGGCTGCTGCCGTGTGCCGTCCCGTGGCGTGTGTGTGATTAACTGATTATCATTGATTAATTAAATAGTTAATTGAAATCTTAAAAAAGTTATCAAAAGAGGCCCAATTGAGCACGTGAGATGAGAGAGAAGTTGCAGTTTTTCCCTCCCTAAGCCCTGGTGGGGCGCGCTCTATCGTTTCAAATTCAAAGTTTCAAACGAGTCCAGGTAAGTCGGGAACTCATTTCCGCTCCCAGGCCCAGTACGCTCTTTGTTTTGTCCTTGTTTCTTTGCCCTAATGAGTCGGGGTGTTCAAAGGATAATAATCAAACCAATTATAAGTCTAAATTTCATTAATTATGGAATAAAATGTTTTAACCAAATCGTTCAAATTAACACGAAAACCAAATTAACCAACCAAAATTTAATTGGTTTGGTTAATCGGATAATCAGATTAATCAAATAACATAACATTACATGAAAACAATTATCCTATTAATGAATGAAACATAACTATATGTTATTACTATCATAAACTATCATTATATATAAGCAATAATAATAAGACTGACCATCCATGATTATCATCATCATTCGAGTTAATACATCATTCATCATCTCTGCACCTAATATAGTTAGCTTACATTACAACAAACCCTTAACATAAATATTAAATACATACCAATACCACTCATCAGGAAGTTAAAGCTCTCGTACAAAACACTTAAACTATACATAGTTTGAGATGGTTTTCATGTTATTGTACGTAATCCTAAAGTCTAGTAATTGTCCAAAATATTTTGGTTTAGTATATAGGCAGACCCATTTAATTTTTGACCCATAATGCTTTGGTGTTGTGCACATGGAAATAAAATAGGGAATCACGAAAGTTTGGTTTGGTTGGTTATATGGAAGTATAAATAATTTTGTATATTAGGTTTATCATTAATTGGTTAATTGGTTTCATTTGTTAGCAGTGTTGAAACCAAACCAACCCACCTAAACCAAATAAGCTAAATTGTTTAAATTAACCAAACCAATAATCCAAATTAACCGAATGCTACCAATTAATATGGTTACCACAGTAACCAATCCGTTTGAACACCCCTACTATTTTGGTTTCATCCGCGAAAAGTCATCTTTTTCTCATTTCTGCAATCTCTATTTGACCGATCATTTTCCACTAGTGTGGTTAATTACAGCTAGTAGGGGATTCGTTCTTTCCTCAGGGGTTCAAAGGCGTTTGCATCGTGGAATGATGATTCATACTGCACCATCGTACATACCTTTTATACGCCTCATCTTCGTTCGTCGCTGGCCCATGCGCAGGATCACCGCCCACCATTTTGACAACACGATCAAAATTGGGTTTACATGCAAAATTGTCAAGGCGATGGTGCTCGTAGGTGTGCCATTAAGTAAAAAACAGACATTTCGTTTTTCATTTTCTCGATTACGCATCAAAACAATATTTTCAACAGAAACAACCAAAAGTGTTTGTGTTTCCCCCTATATGGATTCTTTTGCCATTATGTTTTTCAGTGTACGCATAGACATTCACGGCTTTAAAAAATGCGGTTGAATATCAATAACCAGATCAGCTAAAGCCTTAGCAACGACAAATGATGCAAAGTTGAAAGCCACTGTAAACTGATCTTTCCTATCTTTTTCATCGCCATCAATGCCAACAATGAGTTTCCGGTGACACCTGGTATGGAGAGTGGCATTTTAAATGTCCGCTGCCTCCAACACTGCCATTGTCAGAAAATCAATTTTGCTATTGATCATTTAATTTTCCTATTGTCATATCTTTTCTCGACTACGACCAAAACTTGAGTTCCACCTTAATTGCATTAAATTGAAGCACCTTCTTGTAGTTGCAATGTAGGCACTCATACTTGTTATGTTATCTCTACCACAACAGTCGTCAAATTCTCCACCTCTGCCTGTGGCAAGCAATCTTTGGTTGAATGGGCTTGGATATATCCATCAATCACGGTCGAATATTGCCACACGGACATTTTAGCAATTTGCTGAGGTGTGAAGCCCATAGCTACTCTAGAACTGTAAATCGCGGCGAACCAGATTTGGCATTTTCAAGTTCTGGCAAACTTTATTGTTTTCGGCATTAGCTACTTACTTTTTTGCGTCATCCTCCCCTAAAGCCCCCACGAGGGAGGCCGTTAAAACACCTCGTGCTTTGAATAATGTTTCGAGGGGGGGGTTGCTCTTCAACGTAATTACCGATAAGCCTACGCAATGTCGCCACGCCACTATCGCTGCCCAGGCATCCAAAGCGTATGACTTCGCGGATGTCATTTGTTATCCATTCCATAGAATTCAACCTGTTCAAAATGACATAAGGCCCAACAATCAAAAGACAAGGTCTGGCTCGGATGTCACATCTTGTTCGTCAAAATCAATATAGACGATAGCATAGGCAAGACCTGCACCTGCATGGTTTGTGCTCCATCGTCCGTCGGTCCTGTTGACAAGATAAGGATCTGCAACAGATGTCATGCAGCTAGTGTAGAGTTTGATATGGATGAAGTGAGTAATTTTACTGGAAACATGATAGTCGCGGCCAGAATTTTTGTTACCGTGAAGACTGCACCACTATGTGTTGCGATACACTATCAATAAGAAATTGAACAGAACAAAACCCTTTGCCAGGGATTTTCCCGCTGCAAAAAATGCATCCTCAAAAACTTCTTGTCTTGTTGTTGTAAAAAGCTCGACACGAGTCTTGCCTGCCCGAGTGGTCCATATTGAACATTAAGCCGTGTTCCGGACAGATCACCCGCAGAAGACCTTTCTTTCTTTTTCAGGCCTGGATAATTCTATTTGTGGCAAAGGACTTGAATTCAAGTGTTAGTTCATTGCCTTATTCAACTTCTCAATTCTTATTACTCATTTTTGTGGCATCCCACCTGTCCTAGACATGTAAATATGCTTGAATAATAACGTGCTTGAATAAGTAAATATGCTCATGCAATGCTTCATGTTTAAGTTTAGTATTCTTATTACTCTTTATGAAAGGGTTCCCTGAACTCGACTCTAATAGCACACTCACGGGCACCCAAACATGAACTTCCACATGATGGAAAAATATAACATGAGCATAACTTCCACTTGATGAGAAGTTCCCTATTATAACATGAATGTCCAATTTCTTCCTTCATGTTCACCTCGATGAAGAATTTGTACAAAAAATTATGTCATATGGGAATTGCATCGAGCGATTCAAGAAACATTCTTCAAGATAGAAAATTAGTATATGATCTTAAGCGAGCAAACAGACAGTCGTTTGTTGCATGCCTATAAGGCGTTGAGGTACTTGAAACGTGAACCATGCGAGACTTAATTTTTGAAGCCAAATTATAAAGCTTGAGCTGTTTGGATTTGGTGATTTAGACTGGGTTGTAATCGCTATGATGCAAGGCACTCAGGGTATTACACATTTTTCGGGTTGTCATTTGAGATCCTATTGGATTCTGGTACTTGCTCTATTAGCTGAAAGTTGAAAATACTCTTTCAAAACGCTTGCACTTGCAATTGGCCTTAGGATTAGAGGTGACAATTAGTATCCATATCCATGAATCTAATACATCCATTAAAATATCCAACTAATCCAATCTATTTAAATCCAATTCATTTGATCCAAATTCAATTGGATTAATGGATTCATGGATTGGTCTGTGAATTCGAATGACAAATTATAGTTTAGTACCTATACTTTTTATATTTTACGTTTTGGTGCACAAAATTTACTTTTTAGATGAAAATATCACGGGAAAATTAAGTTTTGATACCTAAAACTTTTTATTATGACATTTTAGTACCCAAAATTTTCAAAATTATATAATGGTCCAAACCTTGGATGTCATTTGGATCCATGGATCAATCCACTCATCCATGAATTCAATCTATTTGCCACCGGATCAATACTAATTTCATATTTGGTTAGGATTTAGTGTATTATGAGATTTTGGAGTTTGTTTTTTAATGTCTAAATAGTCCAAAACTAATAAATGCTAAGTCGTTATCTCTATTTCTCCTCCGAAATAATGCGAAAAATGAATCAGTAAAATTCCTTCTCCACAATGTTCTCATCAATAACCAACTACTTTTACAAAATTTTCGATTGGTTGTTACCTTGATTTATCCATTAATAGACAAAACAAACCAATAGTCTTTTTTTTACTCACTAGATTTTTACAGCGAATCTTACGATAGAAAATTACGAATCCCCCTGCTGCTGCCACATATATATAGCATCGCAGCAAAACCTTCCATCATCAGTAGCAAATCCAACGGAAAACATCAAATACACACAAAAAACAAAGCCAAGAGAATTAATGATGATCACGAGGCAAACCAGGGTCATTTCGGCGGCGGTGTCCCTGATTCTCTTGTCGGCGCTAATGGCGGCGGCGACGACGACGGAGTCGACACGCATCGCGACGACGCAGCGCTGGCACTGGCCGTGGGGGGCCCGCACGAGGGTGACGGTAACGAACAAGGTCTCGGGATGGAGACAACTGAAAGTGCACTGCAAATCCGGGAACGACGATCTCCACGTTCATGTGTTGAATCCAGGGGAGGGTTATCGCTTCAAGTTCTGGCCGAACGTCCAAGGAACCACGCTGTTCTATTGCTACTTTAATTGGGGGGAGGGACTTCGCCAGTTCGATATCTACGATTTTGACAGGGACTCGAAGCGCTGCAAGACGTGGTGCCCGTGGGACGTCAAGGAGACCGGGCCGTGTTTGAGCAACGGGGAATTTACGTCTTGCTATCAGTGGAAAAAATAAAGCGGATATCTTTTTTTTTTTAGAATAAGTTAGTGGAATAAGTAGTAGAGCTTGTTGGAGATAGAGTTATGAGGTGGGTTTACATTCTTTCTAAGTTTGAAATTATGGTCAGAATTTAAATAATTTAATGCGTCGAGAGAACAAATCTAATTTACTTCTACTATTAAATTGATTTATAGTTCGTTGACATATTAAAATCAAAGAACAACGTATATATTAAAAGAACTACTCCCACAACCTTTTCCCTCTTAAACAAGGTAAACTAATCCTAACCCAACAAGTAAATAATAACTTCCTCAACAAGACACAATAAACTAATTAACAAGAAAGACCCAAATAATAATTATAGACTAGGCACGTGAGTCGACCGGTGCTATAATGCACCAAGGGACTCAAGCAGGTACTCCTCTGTCGTAGGGGTGTTCAAATGGTTACCGTAGTAATAACCAAACCAATTAAGCCTAAATTTCATTAACCATGGAATAAAATGTCTTAACCAAACCGTCCAAATTAACACGAAAATCAAATTAACCAAATAACATAACTTTACATGAAAACAATTATCATGTTAATGAATAAAACATAACCATATGTTATTACTATCATAAACTAACATTATATATAAGCAATAATAATAAGACTAATCATCCATGATTATCATCATCATTCGAGTTAATACATCATTCATCATCTCTGCACCTAATATAGTTAGCTTACAACAAACCCTTAACATAAATATTAAATACATACCAATACCACTCATCAGGAAGTTAAAACTCTCCTACAAACATTTAAACTATATATAGTTTGAGGTGGCTGTCATGGTATTGTACGTAATCCTAATGTCTAGTAATTGTCCAAAATGTTTTGGTTTAGTAAATAGGCAGGCTCATTTAATTTTTGACCCATAATGGTTTGGTTTGTTGTGCACATGGAAATAAAATAAGAAATCACGAAAGTTTGGTTTGGTTGGTTGCATGGAAGTATAAATAATTTTGTATATTAGGTGTATCATTAATTGGTTAATTGGTTTAATTGGTTAGCAGTGTTGAAACCAAAACAAACCACCTAAACCAAATAAGCTAAATTGTTTAATCAAACCATACCAATTATCCAAATTAACCAAACCAAATTAACCGAATGCTACCAGTTAATATGGTTACCACGATAACCAATCCGTTTGAACACACCTACTACCGAGAGTACCGAGAGAATGGAACGCATAGTAGGGATGCAATAGATCGGGTTGGATCAGGTTTTGTCAAATCCAACTTCAATTCAGTAGGTATCTACGAGAGAAAAAAATCAAGAAAAAATCCAATGGGTTCTGGAATCTCAAATCCAACCCACCAGATATTGGCGTGTTCATGGATACCCATGGATTGGTTGCATGGAAGTATAAATAATTTTGTATATTAGGTGTATCATTAATTGGTTAATTGGTTTAATTGGTTAGCAGTGTTGAAACCAAAACAAACCACCTAAACCAAATAAGCTAAATTGTTTAATCAAACCATACCAATTATCCAAATTAACCAAACCAAATTAACCGAATGCTACCGGTTAATATGGTTACCACGATAACCAATCCGTTTGAACACACCTACTACCGAGAGTACCGAGAGAATGGAACGCATAGTAGGGATGCAATAGATCGGGTTGGATCAGGTTTTGTCAAATCCAACTTCAATTCAGTAGGTATCTACGAGAAAAAAAAATCAAGAAAAAATCCAATGGGTTCTGGAATCTCAAATCCAACCCACCAGATATTGGCGTGTTCATGGATACCCATGGATTCCGATGGACGAAAATGTTTAACACCAATTTGTCTGCCAAATAGAAGTCTAACACCAAACTGCTCATACAAAGTATTTATACAAAAAATACCAATCTAGTACATTCAAGCAAACCCATAAATTATCCATACAAATTATTCCATATTATAGACTTGTGGGAGTATGTATATGGGCAAGTATCAATGGGTAGGATATACCTAAATGAAAGGGGGGTGCGAAGGGAGTCAACTCTTCACGTGGGTGATACACTCCCAACCATTGCATTGGATCGTCTAAATTTTATCAACCATTGCATTGGTTCAACCATGATAGTTGGAGTGTTGGACCAGTTGGGTTATTCCAACACCCACAACAGTTCGATTCGATTTGGTTAAAATCAATTTAGATTGATCCGGTTGATTACACAAACCAATTTAACAAATCAGTAACATATTACATCAAATCAACTGAATTTAAAATCGTGCCTTTCCCACATCTTACCAACTAGGTCATACGCTATTCAAGGATAAGTATGAAACACGTCATACCAACTAGCTAGAATAGAATGGACTTTCTCTTTAGTCTTTAGCCTATCCGACCTCATCGGAACATAATTAGAGCATTATTTGGAAGTTGGAATAGTGAAAGTGAAAGCTAGGGAAGGGTCGCAAACTGTTAACAAGATAAGCAAATTCTGGGGACCAAGTTAAACGCCGAGTGAAGTGGATAACATAATGTTGCTTCGGCTGTGTCCAAATTGGGAAGCCCCTTTACAATATTGTCGCCATCAGTGATGGTATTTTCGGCTGGGCAACTAGCAGGAAGAACAAGCTTATCCTTCTTCTCTGTTCAAAAAGAGAGAGAGACAAAGTTATCGTGTTGTCTGGCATTATCCTCTATACTTCAAATTATTGGTTTAACCAGTATTGTTATTCGTCTAGCTACCTAGATGTAGGTAGAAAAATGGATGGGGTGAAAAGGTTTGAGGGTAAGGTAATGTTGGGGGAATGGCTCGGCTTCGTCCGTTCCATCAATCGATGTGTCGGTTACGACGCGCCAGTCAGGGCGCTCACAACGTCTCACTCGCGATAAGACAATGCGGATCGATGAAATACTAAAAAACGACACCAGATGACTAACAAGGCTACTTAGCCCTATTCGTAGACCTCATCATACCCTAAACCCTTGTCTTTTCCAATTGTCATGTCATCTCGGAAACCCACCCACCAAGTGGTAGCCTACAAATAGAGCATTTACAACGGTGGGTGGGGGATCGGATTTTAGCTCTCTCACACTAGAAACTCTAAAATCACCCTTCCCTCTCCTTTTCTCCTTTCTCTCTCTTGGGCCTTAAACCTTGTAAGCTAGTGATAAAGTAAGGAAAGAAGCGGATGATTTCTTAACTATACTCGCACCCCACTCTCTTTTGTGTTTCACTCCTACACTCAGTTAGACACAAACAATTGGCGCTCACTGTGAGGCCGCGAGTAAAAAAAAAGAGTGATAATATGTCAGGACAAACTTCAAACACCCCGGGGGAAGCAACCCCGGTCAAGGCTATGACAGACTCAAGAAGGTTCGATGAGGCAAGCATCCTCAACGCGATACTCATTGAGGAGGAAGAACCGGAGCTAACAGCCAAGGAGTAGGTATGGCAATGGGTTGGGTTGGGTCGGGTTTTTCCAAACCCAAACCCATGGGTTTATCCGTGAAAAACCCCGGGGTAAAACCCACTGGGTTTGAAAAACTCAAACCCAACCCAACCAGCTGGGTATCCGCGGGTTCATGGGTACCCATGGGTTTTTGTCGTAAAAAATTTACAATAACAAGTTCCTATCAAAATAAAAGTCAAATATCAATCTCTCAATACAAATTATCCATATATAAAACACCATTCTAGAAAATTCAAGCAAATCACAAATTAACCATACAAACTGTTCAACACTAATCTAGAAAACTCAAGAAAATTGAAACAAAACACAAATTATACATAAACAACATGATTAATTGAAAGCTTTTTCCTCCTTGTCAATTAAGCTTCTCCACTCTCTACTCGATAATATCAACTTCATTCCAGACAATTAGAAAGAAAAAATTAGACATGTCTCCACAAATATAAAGAAGATTAGTTGTTTAAATATTAAATATACCGGAAAAATTAATTATATGGGTGTGGACGGGTACCAATGGGGCGGGTTTACCTAAACCCAACCAACCAGGTGAATAGTAAATGGGTTTAAACCCAAAACCCGTCAACACCAAATTTGCTTCCCAAAAAAGAAGACCCCTCCACCTCAAAGCCTTAATTGACATCAGGCAAAAGGACGGGGAGAGCCTCCGGGCATTCTACGCCAGATGGTCCAGGGTAGCAATGGCAGTTCGGGACCTCACCCCCGAAACCGCCGCCCACCACCAACATGGAGCTCAAACGGGCTCTAGCAAAAAGACCGGTCAAGTTGTCGACAGAGCTAGAGCTCAAAATCGAAAAAGCCATTACCTTGGAAGAAACCCTGGGCGCGGGGTCTGCAAGGCGCTTCGAACCATCAAAGTCAATAAGAGAAGACCAGACGCGAAAACAACTCTCAGTGTCGCACGAGCAATTGATACAAAGGCACAGCGGAGCGAGTTGTCCGCTCGCCCCGCCAGAGCAAGTGGCGCGAAGACCTTCACCGGATAGGCGCCCGCCGAACACCTTCACGCCGCTCAACAACTCGGTGAAAAACTTGTTTCACGTCCTCCGCGAGAAAGGCTACAAGCTTAACTGGCCGACGCCAGTAAAAGCTGCGGCTCACATGCGCGACCCCGACAGGGAAACATGCCACCTAACAGAGGATTGCATAAACCTCCGATTCGAAATTGAGGCTCTCATTCGAAGAGGACTTTTGTCCGAGTTCGACGGAGAACAGAAGGAACAACGCAAGGATCCGCCGCCTCCTCCCCAACACGATTACGACGAGACCAATGGCTCGTACATAGTGCGGAAAGAAATAGGGGTCGTGACAATTGAAGGAGACCGCCCAAAGAAGAAGACAAAGCGCGAGCGCGCAATGGAATGTGCAACAGCTGAGGTGCAGCAAAAATGTAACCTAATCTTCGACGATGCAGAATTCCCGCAAGGAGTTCCATTAGAAGACCCTCTCACTATCACCGCTAGGGCTGCAAACGAGCCGAGTCAAGTCGAGTTTTTTATTAGCTTGAGCTCGGCTCGTTATTAAATTTTTCAGC